CTTAGAATGCCTTTCGGTATCAAAAATGCCCCTTCACATTTTCAGCGTATGATGGACACTGAATTTTCACATGAGTTGAATCAACTCTGGCTTACTATATACATAGATGACATTATAATTTTTTCAGATAACTGGGAAGATCATTTGTCACGCTTGGAAATTATTCTTCAGAAAATTATCAACATGAATATGAAAATATCTTTGTCAAAATGCCAGTTTGGTTTTCAGGAACTTAAAGCTTTAGGTCATATTGTTAATGGTCTATCCTTAGGTATAGATAAGCATAGAGTTGCTGCAGTCTTACTCAAGCCCACACCCCAAAATACAAAAGAAATGCAGATGTTCCTTGGTTTTGCGGGTTACTACAGACTACACATCAAAGACTTTGGGGCTATGGCTTCAAGTCTTTACAAATTATGTAGTCCTACTGTAGTCTTTGAAATGACAGCAGAGAGAGTACAAGCTTATGAATCCATTAAGTTTGCCTTGACTAATGCACCTCTGTTGTTTCATCCTGACCCTAAAGAGAGATTTAAACTTTATGTGGACGCTTGTATAGAAGGTATAGGAGCTGCCTTACATCAAGTACAGATAATTAATGACAAACCTATGGAAGGTCCCATCTGTTTTATCTCACGGCAACTCAAAGAATCTGAAAAGAAATATGGAGCTTCTCAGCTAGAATGTCTTTGCTTGGTTTGGGCACTGGATATTAAACTTTATTATTATCTTGATGGATGTGAGTTTGATGTGATCACGGATTGCAACGCTTTAAGATCTTTGTTAAATATGAAGACACCCAACAGGCACATGCTTAGGTGGCAAATTGCAATCCAAGAATGGAGAGGTTCTATGACAATTGTTCATAAGGAAGGTATTATCCATAAGAATGCAGATGGCCTTTCAAGGTGGGCTCTTCCCAATAATCCAGATAATCCTGCCTATGATGCAGAAGAGGCAGAGACTGGAACTCCGGTTACTTCCATCTTACCATCTCCAATGAGGATGTCTGAGTGTCTAGCTCATTGGGCTTTGCCTAATGACGAAAACAATCCAGCCTTTGAAAAAGAATACTTTGTTGACAGCAATCCTATTATGGCTATTTCAGTATCAGGCTTGTCTTCTTCATTCTGGGAACTGATTGAGAAGAGTTATGACTCTAAAAGTAACACGGTGATTCTTAAAAAATTGCTTAAGTCACCATACGCAGACAAAGGTCTTATAGAAGGATTGGAAGGTGTTTGGAAAAAACACTTTTTAGAAGACAGGTTTGTCATGCTAGATGGGTTACTATATCACAGACGTGAACATAACTCATCAGTGGTTTTGCTAGATCCTAGCCACATTAGTATTATTTTGAATGAGTGTCATGACAGTATTACTTCTGGCCACTTTTCTAAGGAAAGAACCTTGAATAGAGTCCAAAACCTAGCTTGGTGGCCTGATTGGAAAAACCAGGTCTCTGAGTACTGTGACTCTTGTGAGAGATGTCAAAAGGCCAACAAAGCAACTGGCAAAAGATTTGGCCTTTTACAAACTATTGAAGAACCTAAGACTCGTTGGGAAATAATCAATATGGATTTTGTGACAGCTTTACCACCTGCAGGGACTGAAAATTTCAATGCAGTGTTAGTAGTTTGTGACAGATTCTCCAAAAGAGCGAGGTTCCTCCCTTGTTACAAAGATAGTAGTGCTATGGACATAGCACTCATTTTTTGGAACAACATAGTAAGTGATGTAGGTTGTCCTAGAATAATTATAAGCGATAGAGATCCAAAATTTACTTCTGATTTTTGGCAAAATCTTTTTGAAATTCTAGGTACCAAGTTAGCTTTTTCAACTGCTTATCATCCTCAAACGGATGGGTTGGCTGAGAGAATGATTCAAACTTTGGAAGACATGATAAGAAGATATTGTGCTTATGGTTTGGACTTTAAGACGAGTGATGGTTATACACATGATTGGGTATCCCTCTTGCCCGCACTAGAATTTGCTTACAACTCTAGCAAACATTCAGTAACTGAAATTGCTCCTTTTGAACTTGAGAGAGGATGGATCCCTAGTATGCCTAAAGACTTTCTGCTTTCTAAGACTGTTACCTTACATCCAAGTTCTGAGTGTTTTCAGCAAATGATGTTTAAAGCTGAAGAAAAAGCAAGTTCATGCGTGAAGGAAGCAGTTGAATATAATAAAGAAAGATGGGATAAGTCTCATAAAGACCATGACTTACAAGTAGGTGAACAAGTTTTAATTTCCACGGTAAATTTTAATAACTTGGCTGGCCCTAGAAAATTGAAAGATGCCTTTATTGGACCCTTTGTTATCAAAGCATTTCATGGAAGGAATGCCGTGGAAGTCATCCTTACGGAACAATTTAGCCAAAGACATCCCACTTTTCCTATAAGTTTGTGTAAAAAATATGTTGATCCTACAACTAATCCCTTGCGAGTTGAGCAAGATGCAATCCTTCCTCCTATAGAAACTGAAGTAACAGACAAAGTCCCTTACAAGATTTTGGGTGAGAAGATTGTCAGAAAACAAAGCAAAGACTGTAAACTTTATTTGGTTAGGTTCAAGAATTGTCAACCTGACCAAGATAGGTGGTTGGAGGTTGATAAGATTAAGAATTGTCAGGTTCTATTAAGACAATTCAGAGCTTCCAAGAGGTCAAAAAATTCCTCATAGAGTAATTTTTTTGGTGGGGGCGAATGTCAGACACTGAGGCTGTAGCCCATGTGTCTACAACCTGTACTTAACCAACAAACACATGTACTGTAGTGTATTGGTTAAAGACTGTGTTATGACTTTGCCTCACCAACACACTTGGGTTCAAACCCCAATTATGTAATCTTATCTTTTTATTATTTTATTTTATATTTTTATGCTTTAAGTAATTCCACGGAATTACTTAAGTATTCACCTCTGTATTAATATACATATTTTATATACATACAGTTTGAAATCTTAATCATCTCTCTATACACTGTAATTAGAGAGATGACATCATTCTTTCTCCTTTGAGCTTGAATGACATCATTTCCTCCACTTTTGGTTTAAAGCTTAATTTAAATACATATTTTGATCATTTATGATTATATACATAAATGATCCTCTGCAGGCCTCACCGGTCTCACAGGCAGGTTGACCCCTGCCTTTGTAATACTTAAGGGGGAGGTCTTCTTCCCAAGAACCCTCCCCCCAGAGATTATTACCATACAACCCGTGCACCTTACATACAATTGTGAGTGGGGTTATCATTTAATCTATTACTATCCACCCCCCTTATCCTTATCCTTATCCTTATCCTTATCCTTTATCTCATCCCTAGGCTACAGTAAAGTCAATACTGTAGACTAGAAGAGAGTTGATCATTCCTCTAAAGCCCGGCACTGCGAAGACCTTACCGCAAGCGTCCCCTACATTTACAGGGAGCTTAACCCCTCCGCTTTCTAGCGTCGAGGCGAGGTTTCTAATCCATTGGCTGCTAGTACCACTAGCAGTTATAGTGTGACCCGTAAACCCCATCAATGCCAGGTCACATAAGAGACCGGCGCTGACATCTAGTATTGTGGCACTTGCATTGAATTTATGGTTCTCTGAAGATGCTTTGTGTCCTTTACTTCTCAGCTATTGAGATTTTTAAAACAGCTAGTTTGTTTACGATAACGTTTTGTGAGTCCAATTGAAATTATGTAGCTTGCCTAAATTGGGATTTTCATAATATTTGAACTTTTTGATGCTCTATGGACTTCAATCGGAAGAAATTCATCCAGCTATAACAGATTAGCCATATTCTGACTGGATTTGAAAGGGATTAATAATCAGTTTGTATAGACTAAGATCAGCAGCAGGAATGCTGTTTTTATTTATTTATTTTTGTTGGTGTGAGAGCTTGAGGATATATATTCATTGCACATTACTTGTTTGGTTCTAACAGATTTGTTGAAAATTGTTGCATGTGTATCAAAAATAGCAATAAAACTGATGAAACTGCCATGCCATAATTCCTGTATCCATGTATGCCATTTTCACCAAACCATGCTACAACTTTGACCAGTTGGATCCATCCCAATTTAACCAGTACAGAATTCAATTGATCAGCTCAACAAAAATTACATGTGAACCTGTTTCTGATGTATGATTAGATGTGTGAAAGAGGTGGGAGTAGAGAAGGAGCTCTCATCAACATTGCAGCTTCTCCAAATTTTCTTTAAGACTGTGTGATGTGGCCTGTGTGTCACCAGGGCAGCAAGTCAAGAAAATACTCTACAAGGTCTATCTCAAAGCAGCTCTGGGTGACTCTCTGACCAGGGGCCTGGTTATTTCATTTCAATATTGGTGTAAGAAGAGTGGAGAAGTGTGCCCACCTGTACTAGGAATAGTAGGGCCAGAGGTAATCCCTTCCTACTACCTTGCCCACCACAGATTGCCACCAGCATTTTTCATGCTTTGGTCGTTTTGATACTTGAACCAATTACATGGGTTGATGTAGTCTTGTACCTTAATTGAACCAGAAGAATAAATGTAATTTTAACAGAGAATAATACACAAAAATCAAAACATGAGGGGGCAAACTGGAAGATTTTTCATAGCAGGAAGGCAGCCTTGCCAAACAGAAAACCTAGAAGTGGATTTCCCGCACTAGAAACCTGTCTACAGATTTTATATTCAATTTATTAAAAGGAGCTTAGAAGAGGCTACTTGTCTGAAATGAGCAGCTTGACAGAGGATCCATCCTGTGGTCATTATAGACATTAGACATGCTGCATACCTGACTGGATGAATACTAGCCTCCTTCAAACCAAATAACTTTTGCTCCTGGCAAGATGGAAATTCAAGATATGCAACTGGAATTCATTTTTGCACATAATTATAAAAAACACCATTAAAGAAAGGAAAATAATATACAACTTCCGGATTAGAAATACAAATGATTCTTGCAGTCACACATATGAGCCCTAATGCAAAGCCAAGGAAAAAAAATGGTGGCGGAAATGATATCAAGCCTGCGCCTTGGCCGTTTTAGGAACTCTTCGGGATTGATAGCGATTCCGTTCACCTCTGGTGTAAGCACGAGCTGCGTGTAACCCCATAGGTGCATATTGACGTATGTATTCAACAATCTTTACCGCGTCATTTGTGTTTGAAAAGTTAGCAAACCCGATCCCCATGGGCTTTCCGTCTGCATCCTTTTTCAAAAATGTGGAAGTTGTAGGACCAAACTCCTCGCAGAACTGATCGAAACAACGGCGAGTGATGTCTTTGGGTATATTTTTAAAGTAGACGTTGTGAAACGGGGGTTGCCGAGGCGGCTTTGCTTGTCCTTCGAACAAACTGGTGCTGATGGGTCGCGTCGAATCCTTCATATCAAGCGTCGCACCATTTGTTTTCTGTATGGCTATTTCCGCTTCTTCCGCGGTCGCGTATTGGATAAATCCAAAAGGGTTCGATACGTTTTTGGGGTTTACTACCAACTTAGAAGACAGAATTTCTCCGAATTCAGAAAACGTATCGTGAAAAGCTACACCAGTGAGCGATGGGGGCAAGCCTCCGACGTAAATGTTAGCTTCCTTGTTACTTTTCAAGTCATCATGTTGGACTCGCACAACACGACATGGTTTTCCTTCAAATACCGTTTGATTGAACTCTCTGATAGCCGTACTGGCTGTTTGAGGATAACGTCACGAGGGGAAGAAAATAGGAGACTTAGAATTTAAACCGTACAATTGACTTAAAAGATATTGAAGCTTACCATCCTCGGCAGAGTGATAGGTGACGTAGGCATAGGCCCGTAGCTTTTTGATGGCCTGACTCCTAGGGTACCGGATACTGATTTTTAAAATTGGAGAAACTTGGCTGAATACTTTTACGATCTGTTCGTGGGTGATACTTCCAGGCAAGTCGCCGACAAAGACTGAATGATCTACACTAGTGGTTCGACTGGCATGTTGGGGCGGAAAGTGGTTCAAGGGGGTGCAAGCGGAAGAGATACCAGCAATGGCTGAATTCACAACCGGAGGTTGGAGGCACGGAAGATGGGCCGGCAGGACAAGAGGGGCCGTGGATGGGACACAACTGCTGATATCATTCAAGCTGCAAGTGTTTCTCGTATTATTCAAACTACGAGTTTGCGAGGTGAACACTGAATAACCCGCGAGGGTAGGTGGCCCGCGGCATTCGACAGCAGAACGGCTACAGTAACGTGTAGGGGAGGAAACTATGGCTGCGGAGGCTGTGGTAGAACGGTTACGTATGCTGGGATTTTTTGATGAAGTGATGCTATGAGTTTGCGAGGCCAACGCACAATGGCCCACGGGGACATGTGCCCTGCGAGTGAGATATTCGGGAGCGGATTGGCTCCGGCGGCGGGTCGGCAAGGACATTGGAGCGCCAGAGGCGGCAGCAGAGCTAGAGTAGTACATGTGGGAGTTTTTCATGATAGAGTGAATAGAATTTGTTGATCGGAAGTGAGGTAGGTGGGGGGATTTCAACTTGTGATAACCAAGGTGCAAAGTAGTTTGTCAGCTATTTTTGATGGCTACCAACCTGAGGGGCAATAGGGTACTATTTATATTTATAATAATCTTTCAATGTTGCTTGAGTTCAACTTGCTGAGGGCGCAGGATCCGATAAGCCCCTGTTTCCGCTGAGGTTTAAGCGCATGTTGAGGCAAATTTCCCTTCTTGCGGACTCAGTCAAGCGCTTGGAGCCTTGGCATAAATGTAGGGGGCAAATATTACATGCTCAGCTGTGCATTGTCATCAGCTGGCCGCCACTTTATGGCGAGTCTTGTGGTCTAGTTGAGCGGATAGTATAACAAAACCAAAGTGGGTCGCCAAAGTTGGCTGTGGCCTTCGCACTTTTGCGCTTTTCACTGAGGTCCGGGTTGAGCTAGTGGGTCCTTTGAAGCATTCTACACCAGGCTCGGTTCGTCAGGTTCAGACGTGAGGCGCTTTGGTGGAAAGAGATCGGAATTGTTACATTTTACCATCAGATGTTGGGAAGTCAACAAGCTTGGGCTGAAGCACCGACGGCCGGCCGACATTCTCTCTTCCAAGGATCAAACTGAAGAGATTATCGGTGACAATTCGGCTTGGCCGATACCTACACCCCAAATTGCGAGGTACATGGGGTCGCAGACTCGCAGTACTAATCTATCACTCTGAATTTTGAAAGCTCAAGATGGCCTTTACTTTGGACGTATTCTTGTCAAACGGTCAAACGAAAGAATAGTCCTAAAAAATGACTTAACAAAAGTTAGAAAGCATAACCTGGACCACAGTAATGCCTCCCGAGTTCATTTTTGAGCTCGCTTGGGTGCAGTTTGGAAACGTTTTTCTGTTTTTCTTTTCTGTGTTTGAGTGGGCGATTGTGTATACAGATGCAATGATCTTGGCCTCTGCCTTTTGGCAGTGATTGATACCAGGGCATTGTTCCAATGCAAATAGCATAGATTACAGTATGACATGGTAAAAGGGGCTGGTGGATAAGGGCACAAGGGGACAAGGGTTTGCAAGGGATGCATAAATATCCAGATAAAAACACGGATTTATTGCATATGCATTATGATTGGCTGGAGCAAAGTTAGTTTGGTCTGGCTTGGCGCATCACATCATCACATGTCATATAGTCAAGATTTGCAGACCGTTTGCTATCCAGAGTACTACGCCAACAGGGGTTAAAATGAGAGAAATGGATGCAATCAAGCACTAATACTGTGCTGCAACCTCAGAGGCCTGGGCGGCCTTTCGAGACTTGTAGCGCTCACGTTCCGACCTAGTGAGGGCGCGGACAGCGTGGACTCTACCGGGTGCTTTCTTCTTCTGGGTGACTTTGACGACCTTGGCCGCAGCGCTTGGCTTTTCAAAGTTAGCAAATCCTGTACCGGTTGGTTTTCCGTCCTTACCTAGGCTTAGAAAGGCGGAAGTTATGACGCCATACTTACTCCAAGTCTGCTTGAACTTCTCCAATGTGATCTTGGTGGACAAATTCCTAAAAAACACATTCTTGAATTCTCGGGAAACGATCCGATTCTCTTTCTTGATGAATAGGCTGGTTTTGATCGGTTTCGTGGCGCCCTCAACATCGAGGGTCGACCCGTTTGTCTCTCTGATGGCCTTCTGGGCTTGCTCAGCAGTTGCATATTGAACAAAGCCGTAGCCCTTTGGGACATTCAGATGATCGATGGCTAACTTAGAAGATAAGACTTCCCCAAAGTCAGCAAACGTATCGTGAAATGCTATGGCGCTAAGCTTGGCAGGCAAATGCTTGACAAAAACGTTAGCTTCAGAAAGGCCCTTGGCAGCTCCGTGTATAGATTTCATGACCCGGCAGGGCTTTCCCAAGAATTCGGTTTGGTTGAATTCTCGGATGGCTGCGGTTGCTGTGTGGCGGCGATAAAAAAAAGGCAATGATAAGAGAGACCATCAAACTTGAAACTATTAGAGGAGACATCCTTACCAGCGTCGGCAGAAGAATAAGTAACGTAAGCATACGCCCGTCGGAAACGTGTGTTTCTCTTTGGCAATTTGATACGAATTTTTTCTACTGGAGAGGCTTGGCTGAAGACTTGGGTCAGTTGTTCTTCAGTTATTTCAGGAGGCAAGTCGCCAACATAGACGGAATATTCAGCCGGGGTAGGTTGGCTGAGAGGCTGGGGTGGCAGAGGGGCCGAGGCAGTGGACTCGACGCTAGTTGGGTTGGACATGTTTCTTTTGTTGGATGGCGGGGGTGAGACTGAGTGAGATCAGCTTTGAGTTGGGTGAAAGTGCTTGGATTTTGGGCTTGTTTCGGGGTATGGAGGGTTGATGGCAGGCCCAAAAACCTGCCCTTCAGCCATTCTTGTATCAACAAAATATTCGAACGATAGAGCAGGCGCTGACATTTCTCCTCACCTCAAACAGACTGAGTGAATGCGTACTATCCGACAAAAATCGCAATTCAAAAGGAGGCGCATTTGGGGTATGCTTGGACACTTTTGAGCGATTCCACACCAGACTGAGACATTTATTTATGAGCACTTGAATGTCCAAGAGGCTTGGTGCGGAGGTACAATTGCTCAACTTCGCGAAATAGGAAAAACTATTGATAAGTATGTAGTTCGAACCAAAAAGAAAGCACGACCTCTTAACAGTTCAACTTTTGGTGAAAATTTGCTTCCGGTTCGACTGGGGTTGGGTTCTTCATGTCTACCTCTTTGTAAAATTAGCTGGTATGTTGAAGCCCCTTCGACTTCCCAACCAGAACGACCGGCGCAGGATGCCTTGCGAATCTAGAGAACTAGATACGTAGTCGGAGAAATTTCAAGTCAGTCAACTTCAAGATACTATCCATAAAAAAGCTTTGTGGATGAGCCACAAACTTCGCCCATTATCAACCCAAATCGAATGGCAATGCACTTTTTTACCCAACATCGGTTTGTAACTGTTCATAGACCATTTCTGGGTTATTGTAAGCTACAAGAGCAACTGGCAGTGGCTCATTGAGGAATGAGTTCCGAACAAAGATTATCGAGCCCATCGGCCTCGTCCAGGCCAGTTCAAACGGCTTGTCATACATCTATTGAAAATGGGGACAACACCCCAACAGCTGTCATCATTAAAAAAAGACGAAACATCACCATGGATGAGGAAAAAGATAATGTCCCAACAGTGGCTTGAACACTGGACCTTCAGATTGACTGGTGACTTCAGTCTGACGCTCTCCCAACTGAGCTATTGAGACCTCCGGGGATACCCGATGACGACGACCCGCGGACAAGGATATATATACTTTGAATCCCCGAAAGGCATGACAAGTATCATGATCGACTGGCTCATAGAGGAAGTAAATATTAGGTTTCAATAGGAGTGATGATTGGAGTGTTTTGGAGCATGTAGCTGGGGGAAACAAAAGTTTGTCTCTAGAGTTTGATTACAACAATTCTCTGATGAGTCATCAGGGGCGATCGAGATGACGGATGATCTTTATTCTCTTCCAGCCAACAATATCCTATCATCGTCATACAAACTATGTTGTTTTCAGAGCTCGAGAAGATCAGACAAGTTAGAATACAACGGACTTTTGAGAGTGTGTGTGTGTGAAAAAGAAGAAAACGATGGATGGAATGGTCCGGATTTATTCGATGCGTCTAGGTTCTAATCACGACTGGGTTTCGTTGTTCCTTCGTTGTTCCAACAGTCGAAATCCTCGGATCTTTTAATGAAAACAGGAGATGAATCGATGAGGTTGTCAGGAGAACATTTCGCAAAGACCAATCGTGCAAGAGATTATTATACGAATATTATCGAAGATGAAAAGAAAAGCAAAAAAACAAAGATGAATTTCTGAATGGACATCTCCTAGAAAAATGGTTTGAAGAAGAAAGACTTGCCCTTCCTTCTGGGATTTGAGAGATCACGGTCTGGGCCAAGTGAGCGCATTGTTCGTAAGAATTGACGCCTTCGGTCCGATAGCATTCCGCCAACTTTTCTTGATTGATTCTCATCTCCATCACCCGAATCCAATCGTCCCTGATCTTTTTGTCTCGGGCTTCCTTTAGTTCTATGATTTTCGAAACAAGCCGAAGAATACCCATTCAAATCATCAGTCTTTTGGTCTTTCTTGAGCATCCATAGAAAGCTAGCGAAAGATCGGTCGATGGTTTGGCGAAGTTCGGATATCAATCTGGTAATTCAGTCAACTCACGCAGGGCTTCCTCGAGTGTCAAACGCATGGTGAGCTGGGTAAACTGGTTGGAGGTGTGATGATTGTGTCTCGATGGTGTTCCGGGTGAGGCCGTGCTGCGTCAACCGACAAGCAATCTGACTCGATTCAACGATCGATCCACCGGGCCCCGGGGGGAAGGGGGGTCCCGTTTTGAGCCCGATCCAAGCCAACACATCATTCAATCAGCTTTCTTCACATACTCCTTCTTAGTGGTCTTTGGCCCAGCAACACAATCCACAAAGATTATCATCAGCCTCCATAAATCAACAAGAACCACATGCCCAATATTTTCCCTCCATTCCAACCCTTCCACCTTTAATACATATGTTTTTCCTTGGAGACAAAGAAAATCTGGTTTGAAGTCTAAGATTTATCATATGATTAATGAGAGTTAACTTCTATGTATGTTCAAGCTGATTATGAAAAAAGGGGCTCCATATCATAAGAGTTTGGATAACAATGATTATGGTTCAAATCGAAATGACATCCAAACCAATTTTGTTCTCATTATAATTTTAGGAAGATGGCTAAACCACCATCTGGTTCAGACATTCAAGCACCTTGAAGGTCTTCCTGATCATCCTCTTACCCCACATTCAACTCCTAAATTCCCTTCCCCAATATCATGCCCCTCCTCCTCCCAAAGAAAAAAAAAACACCTGTACATGAAGCTATTCAAGATACAATGTAGATTGTAGAATTAGATGATTGGTTGAAGTGGCATGTCAGCAGATGACTTCCTGTCCAAATCTGTGGGGCCCCCAGAATCAATCTCAATTTAGAGCTGCAAAAGCTAGATTTCCCCCCCCCCCCAAATTTCCACTTTTTTGACCTAAATTAGCTCCTGGGGGGGACTCCAAATCAATATAACAAGAAGTTGTTCACTAATGGTGTTCAAATTTGATTAATCATGTATCCACATAACTAAAAGAATAGGCCCAGAGAGCTAGACAAAGTGCCATGCAATCTAAGGCTGGTGTTGAGCTCCTTTTTGAGATTTGTGGGCACTGGCCTTAGCCCAAGCACTACAAAAAGGATTGAGTTGCATTCTGTGAATGGGAGGTAACATTGGATGTGACATGCAATGTCACTTGCATTTGCAAAATGCAATTAAATTTTTAGCGCTAAAAATTCAATTGCAGTTTGCGAATGCGACTCAACACTTTTTGTAGTGGAGACGGGTTCCCACAGGACCCCCGGCAAGCCCCCCAATAGGGGGGTGTTGAAAAAGTCTGGATTTTGGCCAAATTCATACCTGTTTTCTGGAGAGTATGCTCAGCCCAGAATCCTCCAAAATGAAGGGGGTTCCCCAAATTAATTCTGATTTTGGGGGTTAAATTCCAGATTTTACAGGTTTTGACCAGTTTCACATACCTAAAATGTGCAATCTCAAGAGCACCTTTCTGGCCCAAAATGATAATCCATACCTTTTTCAAGGTTCTTCAAGAGTATGTTTTTGTGATTTTAGCATACCTTTTTGAACACCCCCCTATTGGGACACTTGCCGGGGTCCTGTTCCCAATCCATCCAATACATACCTCCAAACGCCGGCAAAATCTCATTGAGGAACCCCCCCCCCCTCCCATCAATCAAGGCAAAGAGAAGGCCACCAAGTCAATTAATTAACATGGGGGCAAAGACTAGGATTCGATAGACAATCCAATCTTGTCCAGCGGAAGTCCTGCAGATTGGCTCCTCCAGACTGTCCGAGAATCTGAGCACACAAGAGCTGATCATTTCAGAGATAATAAATATGCAGACATATAAGGTGTTTGTGTGTATGACTACATGATAACTACTGAACAAGAATGATCAGCCATCATCCAGCAATCAGTCTCACCTGAATCATCGCCCAAGTACGTCACCGCTCCTCCGATCCTTCGACTTGGCCACAAATCGCTGGTCGTTTGGAATGCCAATTACCAAGCCAGAGGAGCAGCATCCTAATTGTATCTCTCGTGAGAGTGGGACACAGGCGGTGTTGCTCATGGCCTCTTCTTCTTCATGGATGCCTCCCTTCCATTTTCCCCAGTTTGCATCAATCCATATATCATATGTGTCCCTTTTCTTCTTCTCCTTCTTCTTCCTTTTCCTCTTCTACTCTACTGTTATTTTGATGTTTTTCTTACACAAGTCAAAAGTCATAAGTCAAAAAAAAAAAATTAAAAAAAATTAAAAAAAGTTAAAAAAAGTTAAAAATTACAAAAAGCAAATTAAAAGACCTCTTCTATAGTAATTAATACTATGTTTCTTGTTCAGATTGTTTCCCCTCCTTCTGAGTCTAGTCTATGTAATCCAGTCAATCCCTTCGAAAAAAAAAACCCCAAGAAACACCAAGAAACACCAAGAAAAAGGAGGAGGCAAAAAAGACAAGCCCAGCCTGCATGGCAGCACCAAACTCAAAAGAAAAGTGAGTAAGCATGTCAGGCTGAGTGTATATGTATATAGGCAGCGGTGGGTCGCTACGCTACACTATGCTACACTACGCTACGGGCCCATGTAGCGTTAGCGTAGCGGCGCCAATTTTTTTTTTTTTTTGTGTAGTGTTAGCGCGCCGCTACGGCCGCTGCCCTACGCTAACTTGTAGCGGCGCTAACACTAGCCATTTTTTGGTGTAGTGTTAGCGCCCCGCTGGCGCCGCTACGCTGCGTTACACTACGCTACAGCGTTTTTAGCGGCAAAAAACGCCAAAAAACCGCTAAAAACTGCTGTAGCGCAGCGTAGTGGGCGGTTTTTTGTGCTGTGCGCATAGCGTTAGCGCAGATGGGGAGAATTGCGCCAACACTACGCTAAACGTTAGCGCATTGTTTTGCCCCGTGCGCGTAGCGTTAGCACTGAAAATGAAAAAAGCCCTAACGCTACGCTACATTGTAGCAATTTTCGCTAC